CTTCGGGGGCATTTCGCGTGGATTTTCGTGGTTCTCGGGTGGTGGGCGTGTAACTTCGGGCCTAGCCTCGATGTCTGGAACAATTTGAGGCACGCCAGCTAGTTCATGCTGTTGACTAGCTGATGACTTGACTAGTGATCGGAAATGCTCCCTATCAGCCTGGATATCACCAATGCAATGCCCAGCCAGTGACTTCGGCTTTCGTCCTCTTGATATTGAGCCTTCTGGTTCGGGTGCAATGACCTCTGTGCGGACTGTCTGGGCTAGAGTTGTGACATTTTCGGCCTCATTCGCAGGACTAGAATCAAGAACCTGATCTTGGTGGTCAGGGATGCGAGCTAGAGCGGATATAGGAGGGTTGTTCACCCTTTCAACTCGATCTTCATCGGCAATAATGCCTATAGAGCTCTCTATTAGAGACCGTTCGCTTTGGTGAGGAACCTCAGGCGGTGGCTTCTTGGAGATGGCTGGCGGCGAGGATGGTTCGAGATCTGGACTACTTTGTTCCTTGCTCTGTTCTGGTGGAGCTAACCCTTGCACTTCCTCGCTCGCCTCCTTTTCATTAGCGGAGTTTTGACCGTTGCCCAAGTCTACTGATGCCTCGAGATCCATCTTAGCCTGTCCGCTTCTTCGAGAGAGAAGTTGGTCAATCATCTGACGATCGATTCCACTGTCAATACCACTATCAATAGGCGAAGATAAGTCGTCTAGGTCCATGATTCTGGTACGTCGTTCACCTCTGAGTCTCGCTTGCAGCTTTTCTTCCTGCTTCTGGCAGAAGGCGTTTAGTTGAATGGTTGCTTGAGAAAGTATGATCTCGTTCGAAGGCTTCGGCGGCTTCTGTATTGGCATTGAATTCGAGCGACGCAGTCCGGAAGAGTCCACTGAAGCACGTTGTCGCGAGCTTGGCCGGTCCATGAGCATCATCATCCTCGGGCCTGACCTGGCCTTGATGCGTAGAGCTGATATTGGCCTGTTGGGTGTCGGTTCGATGCCAGAGGAGTCCTGCACCGAAGTCCTGGGCCGAGTCGCCTCTTTGCGGACAGCTGGAGTTACTTTCTCTCTTGCACCCTTCCTTGGTGGAGGCGGAGAAGAGCTCAATGAAGAAGGGATTCTACTCATCTGAGCCTTTGGACGTTCTTTGGGCTTTGGCGCGACCTTGAGGGTTGGTTTCTTGGAGGAAACAATTCTGTTGAAGCTGTCTCCCTCCTCCTCCTCTCCCGAGGACTCTTCATGCGCACATCTGTTGCTTGTGATTAGAGGTCGCGGTGTTTCTATCCGGCCTATACGGTTCCGCCCAAAGCTTTCTGGGCGAGACAGCGACAAGGCTGCGCCGGTAAGGTTACTAGCATATCCACTCTTTGCAGTAGGAGATCGCTTAGACTTCTTCTGAACCTTGGATGGTCTCGTCGTGTCTTTCACTCCACTTGTCCTGCCATGCGGGCCTGGATGGGGGGGAGGGGGAGCGGGGTTGAGGATGATGAGGGGAGGTTGGTGAAGTGAAGTGAAAGCTCCGGCGCCGGGAACTTGGTCGGAATCATCACTCCCGGCCAAGGTGAGATCAATAGTCGAACGTACTGGCACGGAGACTTTCATCTTCAATGGTTCATACCGTATGGTTGGTGTGCTCTGTGGTCTCGAAGATTTCAAGCTCAGTGCCGTACCCATCAAGTTTTGAGCGTAGCCACTTTTGCTTGGTGCAGGCTCATTCTGTCTCCGTCTCTTGGCGGGTCGCTCTTGCTCATCTTTCTCTTGTGCGTCGGTAAGCTTCTGCCTCTCTTCAAATGGAGAGGTGCCCGGTACCAGCGCTCTCCCATAGTGGCCAGTCGGGGCCACGAGAGTATTTAGAGATTTGGGCTGTAGATGGTTCGAGGTTGGGGTTCCCTGTGTCCTGAACGTAGAGGCAGCCGGTGATGCTATCTTTGCAGCAGCTCTCTCCTCTCTATCTTTGACACGTTTGTCCACCAACTCCGTAAGATCCTGATCCCTTTTTCCGATGCATTCGCCAACTTCGACAAGTATGCCTGATCGCTCCAGCTCGAGTTCCTCGCCTTCAGCAAACTCCGAGTCTTCACGAAAGTGTGTATCTCCCACGAAATTCGACCTTTCATCGTAGACCATGACCCGCTTGTTGAAGGTGTGAAATTTGAGTCGTCCATCCTGCCATCGTTTCTGCTTCCGTCGTAGGTCTTGCGTGTACAGACATCGAAATTCGAGAACAGGCGCAGTGTTCTGTGTCTGGGGCACGTTCATCGAAGCAGTCACAGCTGCAGAACCAGGAAACGAGGAGGTCATTGCCACAGAAAGGAAAGCTGGGCGATATGCACCATTGCTTCGCGACCATGGGTTTTCGTCTGATGAATTGTTGTTGACTTTCGCGTGTCGTGAAATGAATTGTGTTGAGACCGCGATCAGAAACATGGTAAGACGCGCCTTCCTAACGCGCCCCACGTGCAGGCTAGCTCGGATCTTCTGCCAGCCAATGGACTTTCCCCAGCCAAGAATCACGTCCCTTTGATATACTTCGTAGATCAACTGCAACCACGATCGCAGACGAAGCAAAAATGTCCAATTGCTTCGACAGACATTCTTACCCCAAGGATCTTCGTCCCTCATTCTCCATTCCTCGATGCTGCCCTTCATTCTCGTGTTGACCTGCCTGAGGTAAGTGTTGGGATGTCATTTTAGGCGCATCCTGCTTCCAGAACCACCCCGCGCAGCCAACCTGTTTCAGGAGAGAACTTGGAGCTTGTTGTGCGCCGCAAACCGCAGCAACCTCGCAACTCTCCACCTCTCAGCGTGATTGTTTTTCCCTATTACGCGGCGAGGCTGTGCCAATTGACTATCTGGACTCGTTTCTCTTTTTCTCTGTTGTCCTCTTCCTATCAACATCACGTCTCGTCAGAACCACAACCATCGCCAGGCAGCTTAGCAGAGTCCCAGTTACTACCAACCTTTCAACTGCATACGATCACTAATTCCGCCACGATGAATTCCATGCATCGCCAGTTTGGCAAGCTCATGAAGAAGGGAGCTGGAGACACTGCAAATGTTGCTGTACTACTTAACGATTACGAAGACGCTGATAAAATGCTCACAAAGGTTCATCCCAAGCATTGGAACTCCTGGTCATAGCTTGCTAACCGGCAATACCAGATAATAGAAGCATCGAAAGCTTGGAGGGATGCCTGGGTATCCATCCTGAGCATACAAGTGTCGACAACTTCTATCTTCGAGGAGCTGTACCAGCCTATAATCGGAGCAGGCGATGGACATGGTCCACGGCCATATATGACACCACGAGATCAGCTAGATCGAACAACGAAATTGAAGCTGGCATACACGGAGCTGAAGACCGATCTGCTGGAAGAAGTGGGCATGATGGACGCGCGTGTTATTAAGCCTGCGACGGATGCAAAAGAGTACTTGGCGCCTATAAAAAAGACGATCAAGAAACGAGAGAACAAGAGGCTTGACTGGGAGCGCTACCAGGACAAAGTCCTCAACTACCAGAGGAAAGTGAAGCGCACAGACCGTGAGAATGCGGCATTGGCGAAGGCAGAAGAGGAATTGTCTAGAGCGGCAGAGGTTGGTTGCACAAATCCACCTTACTCACGCAAGGCTGACAATAAGAAAAGGACTTCAGGGTTGCAGATGATCGCATTCGAGAGACTCTCCCTCCTGTCATCGCAGCTGCCTTTTCGATGCTTCCTCATATTCTCGCCGTACAGATTATGATCCAGAATACGCTCTTGGCTCAATACTATACGACGCTTCACAATTACTGTGAAGATAATGGCTTCCCATCTCCGCCACCACCAATGGAGGATGTCATATCTACATGGAACAGGGACTTCAAGCCTATACAACAAGAAGTAGAGGGCATCAATTGCATTGCTCGTGGGAAGGCGGTCCATCAACCTATGGCTCTTGGGGAAGGGGAACGCAAGAACTCTTCAGTTACTGGCTTGAATGTCCGAAATGGTTTCCGCCGGCCCTCATCCCAAGGTAGAATAAATTCAGGATCGCAGCCTGTAACTCCCAATCCCGAAGCTCATCGCGTCAACCGAATCCCATCATACAATTCGATGTCCATAACCTCACCTCCAGCACCGGAACCCACTCCTTCGCCAGAACCCACACCCGCCCACACTCCAAACGAGTATGGGTCTCACCTGTCGCCGCCAGTCTCCTCATACGGCTCTCACTCTCCAGCCGGTCCAAAGAGAGACTATTTCCAAGATGCCGTTGTGCAAAAGAAGAAACCGCCCCCACCTCCTCCGAAGCGAATCGGCTCTCAGAATTCCGGCATATTTGCAGTAGCACTCTTTGCTTTCGAGGGCCAATCTCAAGGCGACCTGAGCTTCCGTGAAGGCGACCAAATCAAGGTTGTCAAGAAAACAGACAGCACAGACGACTGGTGGGAAGGCGAACTCAGAGGTGTACGAGGCAGCTTTCCAGCAAACTATTGCAAGCTTGCCTAAACAGGCTGGACCTCGACGATACGACTCAGTGATGATTTATGACCTTGGGAACGGACGGAACCTGGGATGGGATGAGAGGGTACAAAAGTAATGTATGAACGGGCTTATCAGAATGTCAGAATGTCAGAATAGACGCATTGGACTCTGGATTGGTTGGCGAACTGGGGGCTTCCCTTTCATAGGATGGGAGGCTGACTGTATTGGGCCGGGCAGATGCACAAAAAGAATGAAAGCTGCTTTTGAGATCCAGATCTCTATACCAACGACCACTTGTTCTTTTGATCTTTGTTACTTCTGAATGTTGCTCCCGGCTCCTAGCTTGATAGGATTGTCAGATACTCAGACTTTTCCTCTGTGTCGTCCCAATCTCAGATGAATATAGTACTCGGACGAAAGCCTGAGCTAGTGCCCAGTCGACCCTTTATCGTATCGCCTCAATAAACGAACCCAAAAGGGGGGTTGTCCAAAATATCAGACTATCATACCCCGCCTCTACCTCTCCAACAAAAATAAAGCTAGAGATGGTCAGATTCGAACTGACGGACCACGAACCGAAGATCCACCAAATTCTCCAAATTTTCCTCAAGGGTAGGTAGAAGCTCTCAGCTTCATACTTCTTGTGCGCTTACCGCTAAGCTACATCTCCTTTTACTGTTTGTTGTGGGCGGGAAGTTGATATTTAAATCTATATGGCTGGATGGAAAAGATGGGTTGTTGTTGGGGTAAGGAAAGGAAGGGCTGATTGATAGACGAGGAAGGAAGGATGGGTTGTGGTAAAGTCGAGGTAGATGAGGCAAAAAGGAGTGATGGGATCGAGCAGGTACATCCAGGCAGGACATTCTAGCATCAAAAAAAGGTTGAGATGGTTGACAACTCTATTTGTCATAGATTCATAGGAAAGAGTCAACTATCAAGTCTTCACATTACAACACATCGAATCAAAGTGGAATCAAGAATCTTAAACAAGTCTTCTAATTTCAAAGACAAAGCTAGTCACACATCTATATTACACACCCCCGTACCCTTCACCTCTCCTCTCCCCCTCCCCACCTCCCATTACTCATAGCCTCAAGCTAATACAGTTCTCCTTCACTTCATATTCATGCATGTGGCATGATGGCAGACTGCCGTAAAGTCCCAAACCGAGACCAAGATGCTTTCCCCAATGTGTATGTTTTTTTCGTACGTCATGACGTGCCGTGGTATCGAAGTAAAAACGCCCCCCAATATGCAATGTAATTCTTTTTCCTCCCAATGAATGTCTCGCTTACAAAGCAAAGACAGCGAACAGAACACCAGCAGCAATGCTACCGAATGTAACAACGGAACGTTGAGCTCCAGATGTAGTTTGCGTGGTTGGGGTGGCAGAAGCTTTGATGGTTCCATTCGCGGTGCTGGAAGCAGACACCTTGAGTGTAGAACTAGCTGGGATAGCCAAGGTGGTGGATCCGGCAGCCACGGTCGCTGGTGCAGTTCCAGCAACGAGTGCCGCTGAAGCAGTGCTCGATCCGGTCACGGTTGTGAAGATGACTTGTGGGACCGTGACCGCAGTGCTGATCACAGTGGTGGATGAGGAAGATGGGATGATAGAGCCAGCTGAGATACCAGTAGTCTCGGTGCAAGGCACAACCAAGGTGGTGTAAACCTGAACCGTGGTAACTGGGACAGCAGTGATAGCAGCTGAAGCAGTGACAGTCACGCTTGAAGCAGCAGTGATGATAGCTGGGTTTCCGGAAACGTGAGCAGCGCAGATACCTTGGAAGTAAGTTTGAGCGCTCGCGATCTCGTCATCGGAAGCTCCATGTGCGGACAAGCAGGAGAAGACGTTGGACACGAAGGTGGAGGATGGGCAGTAGCAGTCAGCATCAGTGTTGGATGAGCAGCCCTCAGAGAACAACCAGGTGTTGAGGCAGGATGGGAGGACGTCTGGGCATGGGGCAGTGGTGACTGGTGCGCTGGATGAGGTCGTTCCGGCGGGGGCAGAGACAATTCCGGCAGCGGAGGTAGTCGATGAGCCAGCCTCGCACTTGGTGCAGACAGTCTTGGTGGTGGTGATCTCGACTGTTGAGGTGGTGATTCCGGTCTCGAGGGAAGTGGTACCGCCAGTAACGTGGGCGATTGTGCTGGTTTCAGTGCTTGTGGTTCCAGCTGAGGTGTGGATGATGGTGCTGCTCTCAATGCTGGTTGATCCTCCAGTGATGTGAGTCAAAGTGACAGGGCAGACAGTTGTGCTGGTCTCAATGACAACAGTTGTGATGACCTCCGATTCAGCAGGGGCAGTGGTGGTGGCAGCAGATGATGAAGTAGAAACAGCTGGAGAAGAGACAGCTGGGGTAGATTCAATACCAACAGCGCTTGAGGTGGAGACAACCGGTGAAGTCTCGGAAACAGGGCAGATTGTGGTAGAAACAGCGACAGAGACGGTAGTCAAAACTGTGGAGCGAGCTGGGCAGTCGGTGACGGTCTCGGCGCAGGAGATGATCGTCGACACGTAAGTGCTGAAGACGGTCGAGGTGGTGAGAAGAGGGGTAGTAGCTGGCGATGAAACAGCTGGGGTGGTCTCGACAGAGCTGTAGACTGGAGTAGTCTCAACGACAACAGTGCTTGATGAAGCTACAGCAGAGCTCGAGGTAGAGTTGGTGAAGCCAATGGCAGAGCTGGTGGTGGACTCAATAACGATGCTGGTGCTGGATGCAACGCTGGTGCTTGAGGCAATGCTCTCTGTGGTCTTGGTGATCAGAGTGCTAGACTCAGCAGTTGAGGTCTCCTTGGTGACGGAAGCCTTGGTGGTGGTAGCAAGTGTCGTAGCAGAGCTCTTGGTGACCGAGGCCTCGGTGGTGGTGCTTGAGCGAACGACAGTGCTTGAAGCGCTGGAGCAGTCGTAGCTAATGGAGTGGAAACCAACGGAGCAAGAGGTCTTGGTCTGTGCGGCGCTGGAAGTCTGGGATGGGTAGACAATAGTGACACTGGTTGCACCACCACACTGGCTGTTCTTGATGACGGATCCACTGGAGCTGCAAGAAGACTTTTGCTTGCAGGTAGATCCATCGGACATGCCGTAGTGGAACTCGAGGTCGCAATCGAATTCGGTGGAGACCTGGAATTCGGACACAGAGAAGCCGGAGACGCCGGCAGATGAGCCAATACCGAAGCTGGAGCAGCTGGAGGTATCAGTGTGGGCGACACCAGTAGCACACTTGCTCTGTTGAATTGTTAGAGAAGTCCCATACATTATAATGTCCATCATACCTGGAAAGAACGACCGCTCAAAAGATCACGCTTGCCGAAGGAGCTTTGGCAAGTGAAACCTGAGAAACCGAAGCCACCATAGCTGGAGAAGTCTCCAAGGCTGAGAGAGCTCCAGTCGAAGCCGGTAGATTGTTGGCTGTTACACTCGTTGTTTGTGTTGGATGGGCAAGAGAAAGCGGAGGCATCGGAAAATCCCTGAATATGATCAGCATGTGAACGTCTACCCCAGATTCTGGGCACATACAGCAGATGCAAATTGAACAGTGGTTGCCAAAGCGGCGATGGTTGAAAGTGTGGTCCTCATTTTGAACGTAGGGCAGTAACTGCAGATCAACGAAAGTCTGGCTGTGAGAATGTAATACGGCTTGAGTTTTGGATATCGATATGAGATAGCGAGTGTCTGTATGCTAGATTGTTGGTGGTATGAAAACAGAAAAAAGAGACAGAGAAGCAAAGAAGCGAATGACTTTGCAACTCAAAAAGGATGAATTCTAATTAAGTAGAGAGAAAGAAGATCTTGAGGGATAGAGAGGAAAGGAAAGTCTCAACTGGCGGATCTCAGGATGCATTATATCTTTGGCCATCGTTGGCTGTCGGAGGCCACGGCCTTTCACAGCCTCCTCTCCTGTCGTCCCATGTCGGCCAGTGGGATACACCATTCCATGCAAGCAGGGAGACAGGGGGGGCTCCTTTAGGAAAAGCCCCAGAGTTTCTGAGGCCTCGTACCTGGGACCCTTGCGTTTGTCGCGCGCGTTGACAAAGAAAAGGGAGAGCGAAGGTCGGCAAAGCGGTGGTAGAGTCGATGGAGATGCTGCATGGAGTTTACGGCGATGGGGGACGATGGCCACGGGGGGTCAAGCGTGTGGTTGAGGAGGCTCGAGATGTCCACAGGTGAAACATGAAGAAGCCTGCGCCAAGAGAACACGCCCCAACCTGCGAACTAATGCAGGTACAGCAGTTGGCGCCCTATAACGCCACTTCTATCACCCAGGAGTTGGTGAACCCCAGTTCCTGATGCCTGCAAATTGTCCGATTGCAAGCGATGTGTCTCCATTTGTCTCCCGATTCTGGCCAGAGCTTTAAGCCCAAGATCGATTTGGGGACGGCGGTTACTGGATGCGATGAAGGAGGCGGAGAATCTCTCCTCATGTAGATGCCTCCAGTCTGAGCACAACGGTATGGACTTGCACCAGGAACAGGAATAGTTCGAGAGTCTGGCTGCTCTCAGACCCCAATCCATATGAGGCCGTTGGAGCAGATTGAGTGAATATCACCACTTTGCCATGACTTTGGACCCCGAGTTTTTCGTGGATAAAGTGCTTCCCAGGTTGAACCTCGAAACGACGGTTGATGATCCATCTGATGACCAGCTGTCCGCATTTAGGCCATCGCCATCTGCATCAACCCCTCGAGCGCATCGCAAGGAAGATTGCAGTGTTGTTTTTAGAACCGGTCACGACAATGGCCCGCGGCTGCTGGAAGCGACATCTTGGCAACTCCCTTTTTTTTGGGACGGGGTGGTTGGCGATGACCAGCGTGGACCGGCGTCTCGTTGGGCCACCATTGGTGGAATAGAACGTTTCAAGATACCACCGAATCACATCCAACCCTTTATTCCTGTGACAAACACCACGAAACGCGGCCTCATCCATTCATCTACCTCGTAGAACCTTTCAACCTCCGCCAGACACATTTGCTGTTATCAAGCATCAATGAATCGGAGCACGTGGAGGACATCTGAGAGTATTGAAGGTTATTAGAGTTAAACAACGGTCTCTCTCCACTTTCGCCTGCCCAGTGCCATCGCAGCAAAGAGGTCCAAACTCAATGTCTCTCGGTTACCGGAACCGTAGCACCGTACCTCGGACAGCCCTCGGATGCCACTCTTCGATGCGACCATGTCACGGACACTCGCGGATGAACAATCCAAGAACCAGAACCAGCGGTCCAAGCAGCAGGTTCAACCGAACATATCACCCAACTCCATCCACCCAGTTGTCTCAAAACTCCAGAAAAGGCATCTCTCCCAAATGAACCTTCATTTCCTGCTCTCTCCATCTACCCATAACCGGAAGTAAACCCACATGATCTCCACGTCATCCACAGATCTCCTCATGGTCAACTTCTACGCATAAAGACTGTTCTGCGGGTTGCGGACCCAAATGCGCGATAGTCATCAGGGGAATGGTCCGTATCTGCGCGTTGGCGGATGCAGGAACCAGCTCGCTCCTCGAGGTTCCAGGAAGGAGGAAAAAACCGTTCCTGGATTCTCTGGTCTGTGCTGTACTCTAGAAGGAAGTTTAATGTCGAAGCTCCGAGGCCAATGGTTGCAAACCACGATCCGTAAAGATGGATCTAACTGGATGTTTCCACCGCAAGTACAGTAGAACGTTGCTT